TGTAATGGGATCCAGAGTATCTATACGGGCGGCGAGGAGCTGACGACGGCAGCGGGCAACCATACCACCCCGACGAAGTACATAGGACCCCTCAGGGCAGCTGCGCGACGGCTCAGGATCCTCACGACAGGCTGGAGCAGAAGATTAACGGGGGTAGGACGCCAGAGATCCCGCCTGCTGGACGAATGAAGGCCTCTCTCTCTTTTCTGCCGACTCGAGGACAGAACGACGGCGGGACTAGCGACTTCAGGCTCAGATGTGAGTCTACACGAACGGACGGGCGGAGAGGTGGACGGAACGAGCGAACAGACGAACGAACGAACGGACGGACTAGGACTCGGACACGCCGGTGTACGAGTACTGGGCCAGTTGGATGGACGGAAGGCGGACAAGGACGAGCAGGAGGCAACGGTCTCCAAGCTTCTTGACGACTGCGACGAGTAGGGTGACGCACACTCGGTGCTGAATCCGAGTGGTCAACGAGTGGCAACTTGTGCTTGGACGTCGACGAACGAATTGAACGGACGGACGGTAGGGATCACGGCTGGCGTAGCTAACTAGTCGTGGCCTACAAGTGTAAACGAAACATAATACAAATAGGTCGTGTGTCAGTACGATACACACCGGCGGGGTAGTGGGAGTTCCCTACCGACAGCCAACGGATTCTTGGGCCAATCGGCGCTGGACGACCAAAGCTCGGCGTGCAGAACTAAATACAGACACGTTACAGTGCCAATCTTGCAGTTATTCTGGACACGCTTTCTCTGGCCTGAATGGCACGCCATTCCTCACTCCGCTTCGCGAAATGATGGCTAGATTCACCTGTAAGAGATTGCGTATCCGGCGTCTCCAGCTTCTTGGTCTGTCACATAATACACAATCAGATTGATGTGTATACAGCATAAGTAACGCAGCTAATACAGCATAGGACAACTTACCAGGTTGTGTTCTCTTCCACATTTAATCCTCAGTGAGAGTGGTCGCCTGCATGTGCAACTTGCACACGTAGTCATCGGTTTTATATTCATCTTTTCGAACGATCGGTACCAGAAGCGCAAAACAGAGAGAGAGTGGTCAAGCTCAAAACCGAATTGTGATTCATTTTTTTGCAAAGGGTCTCTTAAGGCTGACATAAAGCAACGATTTCTAAACTGGAAAGAGAAATAATCGATCCCCCGGGTGGAAAATATAACGAATATTGTGTTTAAGTAATTAGGTGAATTGGGGAACTATATCAGTTATAAGCGAAGATCAAAACGAAAGTCGTAAGGTGAAGTACGCATTCAAAAGACTTGGTAAAGGGCCGCATAAACCAGACACAGAGCTCTTTCTAGAGCACATCACATGCCTTAAGGGCAGCGATCTGTATAGTAGGCTGCTTCATCCAACTATAAAGATCGTTGTCCTTATGTCGCTGGAAAATTAAGCTGAGATAAAGCTTACGATATCAATACATCAGTTCATTTACTGAATTGAAAAAGTATGCATTCGCTCACATGTCTCGTATCGTATCTTCCCGGTCGAGTTTTGACGAACGGAATTTTTGTTTTGATACCAAATCTTACAGTGCCCGCCAAATCATTAAGACCCCCGATTTGGCGGGACACTTCTGACAATATCTTGGCTTTTAGCCTAAGTTGGGAGCTGCTAGTTTGATATGTTCTCTCTATTAGGCTTACAGAGGTGCCACTTGTGTTAACAACTTAGATTTCAATGTATCTGACAGGGCTGGTATACAAATTCAAGGTTAGGGCACCAGCGTCAAATTATTAAGACCACATCCTTTTTATGACAAAATAGCATTTTTTATGAACAGACCAGACAAACTTATATTAAAAGTTAGTACTTAGTCAGTCCACCTTTCTTCTTGATCACCGCTAGACAGCGGGAAGACATGGACTCTATCAGCTTCAGCAAGTAGCCTAGCTGAATGGAATCCCATGCAGCCATGATTGCTGCCTCCAGATCAGCAACGTTTTGATACTGGCAGCCATGTGCGTACACCTTGGCCGCCATCGCTGACCAGACGTTCTTGATGGGGTTGCAGTCAGGCGAACGAGCTGGCCAACCATTGTGTTGAGTTGCATCTCCTGCAAGAATTGCTTCGTTTCATGCGAGGCATGAATCGAAGCATTGTCTTGCTGAAATACAAAGTCAACACCGTAGTTAGCGTGAGCAAAATGATTAGATATTCAAATAACGCGTAACTATAGTCACCTGAATTCTGACGTCCACGCAAGATGACCGGCTCACTCTTACCTGTTGCGGTAAAGCGCCCCACACCATGATTCTCCCTCCGCCATTTTGGCGACGGAGATAAGACTGTGCTGGCTGGCGCATACCCCGCCAGTAATATTTGAATCCGTCGGGACCATCTAGATTAAACTTCTTTTCATCTGAAAAAAGTGTATACATCCAAGTTTCTAAAGAAAGCGAATATTTTTAGAATACGAAATAGCAGCAAAACCTAAATATGACAAGCTTACCTGGCTTCAGTATGTGCTCTTCCCCCCATTGCATACGGGCAACCTTGTGCGCTGCAGTGAGGGGGAGCGTGCAGTCCATCTTGTTGTAAACCAGATGGTCCACACGCTGCAGAACCCGGTGGATCGTCCTCACGGAAACCTTGATGCCGAGCTTGGTCTTGAGCTGCGAAGAACTCGCCTGTTGCCGCGGCACGCACAAGCTGCCGCAGCTCTTGTTCCGTCAGTGCTGGTTGCCGCCCAGCCCTTCGCTCTCCACCGCTGTCTTCTTTCGGTCCCCGCTCCGCCTTGACTGCGTTCCGGACGGACGTACGGGACCGACCTGTCTTCCTAGCGATCTCGTGCAAAGAGACGCCTCCACCGTGGAGACCGACGATAAACCAGTACTTTTGTTCGGAGAGGGCCTTGCCGTGGCCCATTTGAAAATGAAAGCCTTACAGCCTCATTAGCCTCTAGCTATCCGCTCATTTCCGCCAACCATCTACTTATTTTGACCATCACTATTTTAATATAGAAGTTTGTCTGGTCTGTTCATAAAAATGCTATTTTGTCATAAAAAGGATGTGGTCTTAATAATTTGACGCTGGTGCCCTAACCTTGAATTTGTATACCAGCCCTGTCAGATACATTGAAATCTAAGTTGTTAACACAAGTGGCACCTCTGTAAGCCTAATAGAGAGAACATATCAAACTAGCAGCTCCCAACTCAGGCTAGAAGCCGAGATAATGTCAGAAGTGTCCCGCCAAATCGGGGGTCTTAATGATTTGGCGGGCACAGTAACACAAAAATAGCAGTTTCAAGGAAAGTTCGGATATTTTAACGTTAAGACGGCTGCAGTTCGGGATTCTGTGAAAGCATTTTTTTGAGTTACGGTAGCGTAGTTTTTTTTTATGAATTGCGTGTACTGTCTCTCACCCGTCCCAGTTTTGATCTGGCAGTTTAACTCGAAATGTTGATAGTGAGACAGATAGGCTGATTTATCGTGGTAGTGGTTTGATTACAAGTATTACTCCTGGTAGTTGTTCGTTTAACGAAGTACCTACAGCCCTATAAGGATTAGTTTGCAAGTTTCCCAGAAGTTACCAATGTTGTGATTGCACTTCACCGTCTACTCGACGGATACCTACCGCGGCCAGTCGGCACTGTACCCGCGTGTCGTACGTGTGCCATGTGGCTCTAGTCGAAGTGGAGGTCGAAGTGGAGGCAAATGCTGCGACCTCATTGGACCATATGGGTTGAAGTTTGCGCATCGGCTAGGATTTGCATGGATATCGCGCCTTTTTTGTATACGAGTTTGTAAACAACTCCCTGTTAGTGAAAACTCCCTTTTGCAGGGTACATGAGTCCAAGGGGGATGCCTACAAGAAGGTACTAGAACAGCTGCATGTGTAGGATGAAACCAGAAGGACTAGGACTTCTAACTCAGATTTCGATTCATCTGCTCACATCGACATCAAGCCTCGTTCACATTACCCTATACTCCCAACTGGTTTTGAGCCCAAGCTACGCCGACACTATCAACACACTTGTGGAAGACATATACTTCCACTGGAAGTTCAACGTTCGGATGAAGCTCGATCGCCCGGGTCTGTCCCGGTAGATCATCAAGTCCGAGTTTGACTAAGTGAGCGACCACTTCACGATTGAATAGAAGACTAACGATTTGAAGGCCCTCGGTGTGATCGCCGGAAACATGAGTCTCAAGTACCGAGGCTACATCCGTGGTGCGTGAGACTTGTAAATATCTCAAATTACCCACTCCACCGAGGCATTGATCCCCGGACGGAAGACGACCGGAAATTGCTGCTGACACTTCATACGTTTGCATAGATCAGTCACTATCATGTTCTTAAAGTGTGGCCTGTTGTTACTGATCCAATGGGTAGTACACCAGGGTGACTGTGCCACCCGAGCATAGCCTCAACTGCTACCTCACCTGTAGAACTGTCACACGGTAATAAGTTGTCAAGTTGTCCACCAATACAAGTAAATATTTACATGTCCAAATCCTTCACCAAGGCAGAGGAAATTACCATGTAAAGCTCCGTTGCAAATGTCAGAGCGGAATAGACCCCTCTGCCATGTGAAATGATCCTACCACCTTTTCCGTGCTGGCAAAGCAGGTAGAAGGACAGAAAATGATGCACACTATTGGTCATGTTATTGATCAAAAGGTTCGGCAAAAGATGCCTTAACGTGACGGCTTCACCTTGGTGTCCTTGTGCTCCACAATGTGGTATGATCAGTACACACTGAATGAGAGATGTACCCGAAGTAGAAATCGAGATCTCGACGTCCACACGGTGTACGCTATCATGACCCGTCTCATACGTTCGAAGTGCCGCGCTAAAAGGCGCTTTCCGCGTCTCCACTGTTCAATTAGAATTGGCCATGAAAGCCATTCCAGATATTATGGCTGAAGCACCACTTGTCGAGCAGCACGAGTCTGAGCACGGGTCATACGGTTCATGTTCACAGTCGTGGCGATGGACGTGCCACCCCGCTAACTGATCATGTCTGCCCACCGATTTGGAATAGCGATGGGTACGAAGGTATAGCGAAAGTTCGTCAGCCCGACTACTCACCGCAGTAACTTACCGCTTATTTAAATCCACAACAACATGCATTCAAGGTCTTCACAAGCGAGGACAATTGGAAAAGTATCCTGTTCAACGATGCACCCAGTTCTGTTGGGCACCACTGAATCCTTCTTCTTTCCAGATGAGCTGATCATGTGTCCGATTTGCAACCGCAACACCAAGTTTCCAAGGCTACACTTGAGTGAAAATAGGCGTCCGCCCTTAGTCAGATGCATCTAAAAACAAAATGTATGCTAACATGGCAGACCGCTACATCAGTTCCTTCACGTGGTTGAAGATGTCTTCCAATTTAGTAGTCACTCCACTGCAATATCAGAGGCTACTCACTTGCTTTTCTCGAGTACCAGATCATACAATTTGAATTCGTCACTGCGCGCAGCCGGTACCGGAAACAAATTGCGTTCTTAACTTCCCTCTTCACCTCACCGGGCGATAACGACTCTATCAGCAACTTAAACTTTGCTTTCTCCACGATATTTTTCTGAGCAAACTACTAGCCCATGCTCCTCGATGTGTTGACTGAACAGCTTGAAATACTTCAGTGTTCGCTCAATGACGTCTGTCTCCATCACATGAAGTGAATGCTTTTATCAAAGCGCTTATCGACATCTGGCAGCACTTTATTTACGCTCCATTTGCTGGCTAATATTGGGGGTCTATATGGGTTAAATAAAACGGACAGAGACTAGAGTAAGTAGCTTCGATTTGCTACATACCGCATCCGTACACGAGAGTAAAAGTAGCCCGTGTGTGACCAAATACACAGTGAGCTTAGAGAAAGCACGGTGGGTGTGTGATCAAGTACACGGCGACCGCTGTAATACAGCGTGTTTTATGCGTGACCAAGCAAACAGGGTGCGCTAAGAACAAGTTGGACGCGGGCGCGACACAGACATCACAAGCGTTGGCAGCAAGGGGCTGCGCGTACGTGAGCAGGGACACCACGGACTTCGAAAGAAAATGCAGCTCAGGGGTGGCGAAGCACATTGTGAGGGATGAGAACAAGGGTCGAAGTACACGAAGAGCCCTGAGAACAAGTTCATCGCGTGTGTAACCAGAGCGACTACCAGAATCGGCAGTAAATACAGCCTGTCCGTACCCAAGTTTACGGAAAGTGTTGAGAAGAAATTGGACGCAGCCATGACCGCAGATATAGCTAGCTTGACAACAAGTGCATCGCGCGTGTGGCCAAGGAAACGGAATTTGTTGAGAACAAATGCGGCGCTGGTGCGACGCAAGAAACTAAGGAGCGCCCAAGTTGGGAGCAACCAAAACATAAATAGAACAAACACATGCACACGGACTAACAACAGACAACATCTTCTCATCAAGATATATGAGAAGATCTTTGCTGTCTTATTATCGAATTCTATTCCTAGACGATTTCATTCAATGTCCTCAGCTAGCATTACCACAACTATAATCAAGCCCAGCAACAAACACCAGCCACTCTTACGTTATCGACACCAACCAACATACAGATCGGAGACGCAGCTCTCATCGGACAGGACAATATGAATAGCTCTACGCAGCCTCAGCCTTCACAAATATATAAGATCTACCGTCCCCCTGAAGGTGTATATCCTACTGAAGCTGCAGCTGAAGACGTTATCCATAGCTGGACTTTATCAAGGCATTTTAATATGTCAAAACGGAAAGTGGAGACAAATATCAATGGCGCTATCCGAACAAGACTTTTCGCTTGTGATAGAAATGGAAAACCAAAAAAAGTACTCGTCACCTTCGAGAAGAGGATCTTATTAGAACGATGCGGGGATCGAAGCGTATGGGGTGTCCAATGCGTATCAAGATTGTAGCAGTCGACAAAAACAATACTGACGGGCCATGGAAAATTGTACACACCCGCGATGGAAGTGATAAACAGAATCATCCACTATCTTTAGACGTTCGAGTACACGTCAATCACTGACGTCACACCTCCCAGCAGAACACAGCACCGGAAGTGTCGACGGTGAACGATTGCTTGGCCGGGAGAGCGTGGCCCATCTTGCGTCGCGAGGTCCAGAGGCGGTGACCGCCAGGCCGGAGGAAGATGAACGCCGCAACGGCGGCAGCGTCGGTGCGTGACGGGTGTGCTAGACCGAAACCGCTCTTAGTGAGCATGAAAATCTTCGAGGGGAAGGATGAAAAGAATCTCCTTCTCTGGACCCGCGAGGTCGTGATGACCATGGGATCGGCCCTTCTCCAGTCTGAGCAACAGCGCGCCACGCTATCTCCAAGCTTGGATGTCGCGTTCGCGAGTGGGCACTAACGTGCGGTATGTCAGTTGACGCTGCGTCCCCATATGGGATCAGCTGACGTAGCAAATGTCGCGCGTGTTTGCGCCGCCTAATCAGGTGTACCATGTTCGGTCAAAGTTCATTGCTACCCGGCAGAGAAAGAAGGAATTGCTGGGGTATGCTCAAGGGTTGAGAACTCTGATAGCCGGGATGGAGGCATACCCTATTCCAGAACTGGTCACTGTGACCGCGTTCATGGAGGGACTTCTCGTGAGCGCAGCTCGAACGGAAGTTTTCCGTAAACACCCCAACTCTTTTGAGAAGGCGGTGAACGTGGCATTGAGTGCCGAGCGTAACTTCAAGTCGGCTCGACCTGGTTGGTGAGCTAGTAGCGCGAGCTCTCCGAGCGGTCCAAAACCGATGGATCTCAGCTATGCTGAAGGCGCAGGAGCGGAGTTTCATACTGCGGAGCAGCGTGCCAGTATCCACCGCTTCTTTACGTACAGAAGCACCAGGTACCTGAGGGCGAGCTGCCCTTTGTGCTTTAAGCGCCAGGCTCCGGCGAGCTAACCCTTCGAGTCATCATCGAAAAACGGCAACTCCCAGTAGGCGCGGGACAGCCTACTTGATTGACTCGGGAGCCTCGGGCAACTATGCCCGGCGCTCCACCCTGAATGAGATTCAGCTGTATGCTGAGGCATTGGATGTGCGAACGCGAGATGAAATCGCATTCCGTCTTGCGACGGGGCACTTGTTACTGTGTCGAAAGTCTCAAGTCCTAGTGGTGCCTTGGTGAGTCATGAACCCACCTCTTATAGGAAGTAGAAGCGCTACTGGCGCGATCACTAGCGTGGTGCTGGGTATTGGTATGTCAGAGCTTGTTAGCAACGAGGTTGCTGTTTGTCCTGATGAGGATGAGAGCGGAGTGGTGCGTAATCCACTGAGTGGTATGGATCTGGCCGAGGTCCTACCGCTGCGTGGGCCGAGGGCCGCGGTCGACTGTGAGTTGAGGCATTGTGGGAGAGCCCCAGAAGATGCAGGTGTAGTGATACCTATTTTACCGAGTGAGGGTCATGGACCGCATGCCCTGGGCCGAGTGTCTCGCGAGACTCTATTTCCCCTTCGAGGAGTGTTGATGCTACTGCACCCGGTGGTGGTGACGGAGATGTCACTGCACTACCCTCGTCCGGTCGAGCTCGGTCGTGGAGGGAGAGGAGAAGTAGCCACAGAGTGTCTGTGAGGTCTTTAACGTCGGACGAGGTGTCCAACCTGACGAGCATCTAGGCTCCACGTGATTGCTGTGAACAGCTGTACACACTCATGAACGGAGTGACGGGGGAGGTCTCGATGGCGACATCAGCCTTGACTCTCTGCCCGCTGTTAATGCTCTGATAGAGCTGGACGAGATGTCTATCGCCGAGTTTGGCGAGGCCTTGAAGGCAGGCGGCTTAGCTGAAATTATTTTGATAAGGCCTAAGGAGTAGTTGAACCACTCCTCCGCTTTGGTTGCCGCGGTCCTGGAGGAAACCAAGAAGGCGCTAAGCACGAGGAGTGGATCGGCGATTCATAAAGATCGTTCGGATCCCTTCTACGAGGTGGTAAAAGAGTATGGAGACGTGGTCTTGAAAAACCCGCCGATGTTTTTGCCTCCAGATAGAAGCGTACGTCATAAGATTCACCTGGTTCCGCGAACCAAATAATGCGCTACACGGCAGGGGTCCTTGCCAAAAGAGCAATATGACGCCATTAACACGTTCTTCCGCGCGAAGCATGAGGCAGGGTTGAGAGCAAGTCTCCGCCGGCTTTCTGTGTCATAATGCCGAATGGCGCATTGTGCATGCTTTTAATAAACTATACGCGACCAACATTCCGGCACAAACGCCGATTTCTAGAAAGGAAGTTCTACAGAAAAACATGGCGGCTGTACGTTGTACAGTGCACTCGACTTGGTCGACGGTCACTACCAATTGTTTATGAGAGCGAGCGACATTCTGTTGACAGCGGTGAGCACTCCGAGCGGTATGCTCTGTGAGGGGTTGGTGATGCCCCAGGGCTGTCGTACGCACCAGCAACAATCAACGTCTTGTGACGCAGCTGCTCAGGTTCCATCGGGCGTACGCGCAGACGTATTTTCACGATATCTTCGTCCATATTCGTGCTGAGCACGGAAGGTCAGATGTGTAGAACCACATAGTTCACTGACGAGCGGTGCTCAAGTTCATGTGCACTAATAAGTTGTATGCCAATTTGGACA